GGTTTATTCTTGTAGACTTAAATCTGATGTTGTAATATTACAACCGTGGGTTTCTGGGGGTTAATCATTTCCTTGACTGTTGGAGAGCTAATTCAGAGAAAATACTTTAGACTAGCTGAGCCTGAGCAAAGATGTGATAATAGTTTTTAATACTTTCTAAGGGTCTTAATTTGACCAAAACCGATTTATCACCTTTTAAGACTTTTCAAGACCCAGCGGATACCCTCTAGTAAACAATTCTCATTTGTAGACCCAAATAAAATTCAAGAGTTTAAGCAGAACTGATTTTATTTAGATATTTCTTTTACATGTACATGTTTAATCTTCCTTAACCATTTTTTTCTAGCAAAGTAAAAAGCTGTCAAAGTTCTCCCTTCTCTCCTGTGCCCTCTGCTGCTCTGCCTCCCTCTGCAGCCTCAATTCCTCCCAGATCAGCTCCAGAAGCTCATCGCTGGCACCTTCCCCTGGATGCCCATTTTCTCCAGAATAGTCTTAAAAAACATGTAAGAAAAGAAACAGGAAGAGAAAAGAGGACAACGGGTTATTCCTTTCATGTTTTCGCAGAAAAAAATAAACTCAAACGAGTTTTTAAAATATGAGATGTTATTGTACCTCCATGCCACAGCCGCCGAATACTTAGCTCCAGTGATCATGTGGTCCATCTTCGCCCTGAGCTTAATAAATTCCCTGGTTTTCTCTTTTGGTCCTAAAATACAAACTTCTATTAAAATCAGGGGGAAAACGTAGCGGGAGAAGTACGACACCGAGCGCGGCCGAACATACGAGCCGAGACCGCAATACAAGCACTTTTACTGTAACATTTCTAACTAAAATAACGTTTATGTATCACAAAAAGTCCTTAAACTGACAGTTTTCAAGTTTATACTTACATTTATATGCGCAATCCTCTCCGACAGCTCCCGCTTCACTGTCCGCCATTGTTTTTAAGTTTTTCTGCCGGCCGGCCCGCAAGGCATCTTGGGAAATGCTACCTATTGAAGGATACACCCGACCCATCCTTCATTCAGGCGAAAAGAAGGCCGCATTCGTCGACCGCATTTGAAGGAGTCTTCGAATTGGGACAGGCCGAGTCGCGGCGCTGTGACGTAACCGGCCGACGAATCCGGCCGAGGTAGGATGCAGACCCTGAATTGAGACACAGCCTTCGGTTCATTCCATTCTGATTTAGAGTCAATGATTTCTGGGGCCCGCTGGAGCAGGTATTCTTTTAGATCCATATCTGACCCATCAGTTTGCTTTTCGCGCGTGTTTTCCTTTTTTTTTATGTCCTTCTCATTCATTTTAATTGGTTCTTCATCACAGGGATTACTGTGCTTTGCAACATATTCAGCCGTACGCTCAGAAGCACGTTGTGTTTGGCCCAGATTAATTGGGGGCTCCGCTATAGTTTCCAAACTCGCAGCTGCAGCCTCAATTACTGCCGCTTCAGCAGCTGCAGCTTGAGCTTCACCTTCTATGTGTAGTGCATGCAGTGTTGCTTCTAGCCTGGCTTTTTCCAATTTGACTTCTATTTCCTTTTTTGCAAAGGCAGCTCTGGCCTGGGCAGCTTCTGCTTTAGCACGTGCTTGAGCCGCTGCTAATGCTACACTTGTAGCGGAAGCTCTGCTTGACCGCGACGTAGTAGATCTAACTTCAAACTCCGATTTATCCATGTTTCGTGTTGGTGTACTGTGCCTTACGCTGACTTGGTAACGCCGCGTCTGATGTGCTGTTCTGAAAACAGCATTCACGCAGCCTGGGAGTCAGTAGTTCGTTGAGAAATCCTCCTTTTTCACTTTTACGGCCTCGTGGAAACCTTTTCCACTATCCGTTTAGTTAAACACCTCCACACAAGAAGTCTCAGACGCCTGGGTGGTTTGGACCTTGTACTTTATATGGCAGGTGTGAAACTGTAACAACAAATACACTGCATTTGCATCAATAAGTAAAAAACACACAAAAGTCAGAAATAAATCATAACCATGCTTCATTGCAGCCACAAACAATTTAAGGATGCCCTTAAAATAATACTTGTAAATAATTCCTTACATCCTGGATGAACTCACTTTTGCCATTTGTATAACTAATTATTCATATAAACATTATGTTATGGTAATACTTACAAGGAATGCCCTTTCTGAACTGAAAACCCACAGCTGTTAACACAACACCTCGCTTTCTGTAAGCTGCTTCACACTGGCGCGATCGCTGCACGGTGTGGCCTGAACGCTCAACTTCCTGATTCTCTTAAAGAGACAGCGCCCATAAATAAAATGCATGGCAGAGCCAGAACACATGGACATAATTTTGTGGGGGGGACAAGGGGGACATGTCCCCCCACTTTTTCCAAAGTCAAGTTTTTACCCCTGCACTTTTTACCATCCAAAAACAATATTACGCTATATTAAAGTGACACTGGTTGAGCTCTAGGACCAAGCGGAAAATAACCGTTTGTGTTGAAGCCTGTTTCCCATTAGAGCATACTGTAAAGCTACACCCCCCACCACCCCCACCCCGCCCCAAACTTTTTTTTACCCTACTGGCTGATATGAATGAATATAATAGAACAGAGTAAATGTTATTAGTCCCACAGTGGGGACATCCACTCATTACAGCAGCACACACACTTAGAGAAACAGACTACAGTAAAACTGACTCCAGCCATGTTTGCTTTGATAACTTCAGTAACTTCATGCTGATGAACACATGAACATAATCCTCTGTTTAGTGGATGCAATTACATCATGAAGTTAGCTTAACATGATAGATTATTTTTCTTGGCAGGAAATAATAACTGGTAATATTATGAATGACATGATATTGCCCCCCCCCCCCCCCCCCCCCCGATGGAAATTAAATCATTTAATTATAAATAAAAGTTCCTGTAACTCTTTACTGCTGACAGACAGACAGATGGGAAGATAGATAGACGGGCGGACGGGTGGATGGATGGATGGATGGATGGGTAGATATAGATAGATAGATAGATAGATAGATAGATAGATAGATAGATAGATAGATAGATAGATAGATAGATAGATAGATAGATAGATAGATAGATAGATAGATAGATAGATAGATAGATAGATAGATAGATAGATAGATAGATAGATAGATAGATAGATAGATAGATAGATAGAGTGGGGCAAAAAAGTATTTAGCCAGCAACCAATTGTGCAATTTCTCCCACTTAAAATGATGACAGAGGTCAGTAATTTACATCATAGGTACACTTCAACTGTGAGAGACAAAAAAATCCATGAATTCACATGGCAGGATTTTTAAAGAATTTATTTGTAAATCAGGGTGGAAAATAAGTACTTGGTCAATAACAAAAATTCAACTCAATGCTTTGTAACATAACCTTTGTTGGCAATAACAGAGGTCAAACGATTACTATAGGTCTTTACGATGTTTGCACACACAGTAGCTGGTATTTTGGCCCATTCCTCCATGCAGATCTTCTCGAGAGCAGTGATGTTTTGGGGCTGTCGCAGAGCAACACGGACTTTCAACTCCCTCCACAGATTTTCTATGGGGTTGAGGTCTGGAGACTGGCTAGGCCTCTCCAGGACTTTCAAATGCTTCTTACGGAGCCACTCCTTTGTTGCCCGGGTGGTGTGTTTGGGATCATTGTCGTGTTGAAGACCCAGCCACGTTTCATCTTCAAAGCTCTCACTGATGGAAGGAGGTTTTGGCTCAGAATCCCACGATACATGGCCCCATTCATTCTGTCCTTAACACGGATCAGTCGGCTGTTTACCAACAGTGAGTGTGGGGTTGCCATGTCTCCTGTGAGCTAACACTGCAACACCGACAATTGCAATTTGACGACGGCTGGCAAAAACTTCCAGAGTGGTTCAAAGTGGTTGCAGTAACCAAGTTTTACCTCAGAACTTCATTTTTACTTAATTTCTACATAATGCACATTTAAAACTATGAAAATTTTGAATATATTTTTTATATATATGCCAATGTCTTCACTCTCCAAGCTTTCTAAAGTTCTTCTTTGAGGCCCTGGTACTTCACTAGTTTCTCATGTTCTTTTTTCGTGATGTTACCATCACTTGGTATCGCCACATCGGCCACAACGGCTGTCCATCACCACAATGTCCAGTTGGTTCTCCATCACCATTTTGTTGATCTGGACCTGGAAGTCCCACAGGAGCTTAGCTCTCTTGTTCTCTACCACCTTAGGGCGTGTTACCCACGTTGACCTTGTAGCTTCCAGTCCATACTCTGCACAGATGTTTCTGTATGCGATGCCAGCCACTCGGTTGCGACGTTCCACCTATGCTTTCCCTGTCAGTATCTTACACCCTGCAGTTGTGTGTGTATACATATATATATATATATATATATATATATATATATATATATATATATATATATATATATATATATATATATATATATATATATATATATATATATATTTACTCTGTGTGTGTGTGTGTGTGCAATATTTTGTACTCTGTGTACAATGAAGAACAAAATTAAATTCAATTGGATATCCAATTAAATTTTATTTTGTTCTTCATTGTACACAGAGTGCAAAATATTGCTAACAAAAAATTTAAAAAGTGACAAACATTCAAAATTGTTTATTTTCATCTTTCTCTACAGTATTATTTTGCCATGATCACCATTGTTTAAGTATTACTTTTATTTCAAGTAGTTTCCTTTTTTCAATTTAATTTTCTTTTCCATTTTTTTCACATTCTGTAAGCTATTTATCTAATAAATAATAATTATTCTTTGTTACTTGATGATCATGTTGGCCAATAGGGAGACAATCTGACTGTAGGATCCCAGCAGCACAGCATCATTCCTTAAATCCGTGATGCAATATTATTAAACAAAATCTTAATTCTTTTTTTAACCTTTACAGTGTTAAACAAAGTCTTTAGTGAAAATATTTAGATTATCTAAAAATAAAGAAGTAAATAAATAAAAAATATCCTGGGTAAATAAATAAAGCCTTTACTAAATAAATTTGAAGAAAGCCTGTGTGAATGGTAATTGCTGATAATGATCACTGAAGCTGCTTAAGGAGTGAAGTTAAAGTGTAAAAAAAAATTCTAAAGAAAAAAGAAATAGGAGAGAAAAAAGGTTCAGCTCCGCCCACTTGGCTACTATGGCAACCATGTTGACAGCACTCAAACTGTTAACTAGAACATTTCTGTAGAACTGAAAGTTAATTAGGTTTATGTTGTGTTAATAATGTGAATGGTATGTTAATTATGTTAAGGTTATGTTAATTATGTTTATGTTGTGTTATGTAAATGAGGTTTGGGTTATGCTAATTAGGTCATGTGACCTATGACATCATAAAGGCATACCTCAACAGTCACAGCTCCCTCCATCACACTAGTGACTGACCTCTTGTAGGACACATCAGATTTTGTGAGCTCTCTCTGATAACAAGGATCTGTTACGCTAGAACCTAGAAATGTCTAGAAGCAGCACTGCTAACAAGAAGAAAGTCTCTTGGTTTGATATGTGGGAACAAGAAGTGAGTGTGGATTATAACGAAATAATCAACGTTGACACTGTTTCAGACTCTGAAGATTGTGTGAAGCCACCACAAAAGGTTTCTCTACCTGAGAAAGTCCAGCAGGAATCGTCTGTCTGTGAAAAACTAAGAAACATGGACCGTCTTTTGATTGAAGTGGAGGAACTCAAGGAAAATTTGAAAATTTCCAACGATTCTCTAAAAAATGAGAAAATAAGACGAACCAAAGCTGAAACTAACTGTGTGTTTTACAAGAGACACATTGCCGAATTAGAGCAGGGATTGGATTACTATCAGCATAAGGTAGAGACTCATGAAAAGACGGTGCAGACTTTACAAAACCAGCTTCAGAGCAAAGAAAATCTCTGTGAGAGTCTGCAAAAGCGTTCTCAGCAGGAGTCACTGCTGAGACACAACTTAGCTCAAGAAAAACTGAAGAGTGACAACGAACATATAATCAATAATAAGTTACAGAAGGAAATTGCAGAATTACACAAGGAGAAAGAAAATCTTTTAAACAAGCTGGAGAATTTTTCCTCCATGAAAAAGGAGGCAGATGAGAAGATGTCTGCACAGCTGGAAACCTTGAAACACCAGTTGGATGAGAAATCTTCTCTTTGTCATCAACTGGAATCGTCTTTTATTAAGGAAAAGCAGCTGAGAGTCCAGTTACAACAGGAGAAGAAGAACCAGAAAAAAGATTTAAGTCATCAGAAATTAAAGAACGAAATCTGGGAATTAGAGCAGGGACTGGATTACTATCAAAATAATGCAGAAACCCGTGAAAAAAGAATGAAGAGTTTACAGATCGAGCTTCAGAACAAAGAAACTGCATGTGAAGATCTGCAGAAGACTTTAAAACAGCTGAGAGTCCAGTTAGCTCAAGAGCAGCAAAACAGTCAGAACAAAGATGCAATTACTGAGAATTTAAAAGAGGAAGTTGGACAACTAAAGAAGAGCCTTGTGAAAGCTCTGGAGAGTCTTAACTCCACAAAACTCAAGGAGAAGGAGAAGATGTCTGAGCAGCTGGAAGTGTTTAATCAGCAGTTAGAAGAGAAATCTGCTCTTTGTCAAACACTTAAATCAAGTTTAGACAAAGAGCAGCAGCTGAGGGTGAGCTGTCAGGCTGAACTCAACAATACCAGAGTTCTTGTCTCTGAGAATTCAGATCTCCAGCAGGAGATCCAGGATTTGAAGGAGAGAAACTCTGAACTCAGAGATGTGATGATCAAACGTGTCTCTGAGAAAGTCGAGTCAGACCAGCAGTTTGTTCAACAGCTGCAGAAACTCAAAGAGCAGCATGAAGAGGAATTAGTTACCCTAAAACTGCAGCTTAAAGAACATCTCAGGTCTGAGATCCAACCTGGTTCTGAGATTTATTCACCAGAACCACAGCCGTCTGTGGAAAGTCTGGAGGCAAATCCTGACAAGGATTGTCAGACGGACACGGACGTTTGTCAGACTGAAATCGTTCAGGAAACGCTGGAGTTAAGCCAAAGTCTCCACAGTAACGAGTCTCCATCTGAAGAAGCCGTTCCACAAACAGTCAAACCGCAGCAAAACATTTCTAAGTGGAGACGCTTCAAAAAGTTTATGACTCCAGCGTGTCTGCGGAAACACAAGAACACGTTATAAACTAATTACCTGCCCTCACACACACCACCCTCACACACACACACCTTCATAAATCACCATCCAATATTCACACACCTTTCGAAAAAACGGGGCTGTATGTTAGAAGATGGTCGTGCTTTCGTCTTGCAGAGGCTGCTGGTTTGCATGCCAGCTGTGACCCCTCTGTGTGACAGAGCACGTTCTCTCTCATGCACGCGTGGGTTTTCTCCGGGCGCTCCGGTTCCCCCACAAACACGTGTTTAGGTTAATTAGTGACTCTAAAATGTCTGGGTGAGTGTGTGAGTAACTGGTGTGACTGGCCACAATAGAAAAATGATAAATCTCCAGAGTCTGAGGCCCTGTCCACACATAGCCGGGGATCTGCCAAAACGTAGATATTTTTCTACGTTTTGGACTGTCATCCACACGAAAACGGAGTTTTTTCACACGAAAATGGATCTTTTTAAAAACTCCGGCCAAAGTGAAGATCTGCGTTTTCTCCGTTTTGGGTGTCTGCGTGTGGACAGACAAAACCGGAGTTTTAAGGTCCGCAACGTCACTTTCCACGACAAAAAATGCTGACGATACGTGTGCGACCTGTGTTTACACTAGCCGACATCATGGAAGCCTTCAGAGCTGCGCTCTGTCACTACCCGATCCATCAATTGTCCAAGCGCTTTTTGCTTGTTTGTTTTTGCAAGCGGAATTACTGCTCCTTAAGGAAGACCACAGACGAAGGACGAGGTTAAGAACGGGGGAAGTACTGCCGCCTACAGGTCTGGCATGTCCTTAACAACGTATTTATCCGGGTACATGTGGACAGAGTTTGTTTTTAAAACGCGGTGGTGTGGATGCAAGTTTTTGGAGGGGCGGATGTTCGTTTTCAAAAAACCCTGGCTACGTGTGGACTAGGCCTTACTCAATCTGGAACGATCAGATCAACAGTCTCTTATCAAAAAGTGTTTAGAGTGTGCTTCAAGTAGGCAAGGCAGCTTCATTTCTGTAGCACCTTACAGCAGCATTAAACCGACCAAAGTGCTTCACAGAAATTAAAACATTAAAAAACAAAACACAACATAAAATACATAAACTAAAGCTTAAGAACTAACACTAAAAAGACTAAAAGACTCTCATGCTGAGTTAAAAGCTAAATCATAAAAATTGGTTTTCAAAAGAGATTTAAAACCAGAGAGTGAAGAGGCACTTCTATACTTATATATACATATACTTATATATACATACTTTATATACTTACATACAGATATACCTAAGTAGTAGTGTGTTATCAGTACATTTTATTTGACTCATTCTAGTAAGGGCAAGATGTAAATCATATATTTGCAAATCCTGTCTGACAAGTTGTAAGCAATTGGCCAGCTTTAACATGGAAAGCTCAAGAGTGAATAATAGTGTAGGAGTTTATTTGGAAATAATTGGCTGCAAAGGGGGTTAGCTCCTATTTAAAACAACCAAAAATTAAATTTATCCCATCCGCTGAATCACCACCTTAACGTGGTGGGTGGGTTTAAGTACCCCCAGGATCCTGAAGGATGTTTAGTCAGGGTGTTGGCTCCAGGTGGGGTCTCCCGTGGCAGAATTTCCTCAGGTGAGGGGTCAGACTAAAGCTTGGCTTATGCTTGACGCATTCACTTTCCGCGCGGTGATGCGGCTCGTGGCTGGAACGCGCTTCACAACTCGCAGTGTTTATGGTTTGTGCGGCTCGTCTCTGCGGTGAGCCAATATTCTCCCAAACTGAACGGGGCAGCATGGAGCTCTACAGCATGCATCCAACACTACACCATAGTAGAAGTAGAAATCACTGTTTACAACAGGGTATTTCAGCATTTTTAACAGCGTTCTCGTCTTTTCCGACAGTGCGAGCTATTTCTCTCCAAGAATTATTAACAACATGTTGATCACGGTGATCTCTGAGAGCTGAATCATACAAATGTCTGTATTTACGAACCTCTGCCGTGCCGGTCCGCCATGTTTTTCCGCTTCCGACCGTCCGCGTGGTTAGAAATTTTCCGAGGTGCGCGTTGCGGAAATCTTGGGCCGTGCGGAGACGCGGTGGAGGGGCGTGGTCGTTAAAATGACGCAACTTTTCCGCGCGGAGCCATGCGGACCTCGCGGACGCGTCAAGCATAAACCAACCTTAAGAGTGATTCAAAGACTTATTTTATAGAAAGTCATGAAGAAACAGTCTCCATGTTGCAGAACTGACTGGTGGACACTAGACAATCCTCATGGACGAGAAGGTCACCTGTGCAGCTCCAAGCAGCAGAATAAACAAATCTGTTCAGAGTATTTGGCTTCTTGAAGTTTCTGGATTCTGTTTTTGTAAAGTGATTAAAACATAATAAAAAGGTAAGTAGACTCGTCTGATTTACTGAACATGTCTCTTCTCTCATCTTGAACAAGAAGCCTGTTGGATGATAGTCAAACGTCTTCAATAAACACAAGTCCAGCTGCCATTTTTAAAAGTTACTAAGAAGATCAAGTCCCACACGCTGAGAATTAACACCAACCTAGATCGGTTGTTGGTTAACGACCCAGCAGTCCTGGCTTGGGGTAGTTAGATTAACCACATCATGTAACCACAACACATTCTCACACCCTAAGCGTCAGAAACAAACGCTTGGTCAGCCACCCTCCACGTCAGACCCCAGACGCCAAAAGTGCCCTTTTTCGTTACTTATGTGTGAAAAGGGGTTTTCCCAATGCAGCGTAAAACTGACGTGATTAGATATCCGCTGATGCGGCACAGAGCCAGCTCATTGAACCGCACCTAAACCTTAACGTTTCACTATTTATAACCTTCCCCTCTCCCTCATCCTAACCTTAACCCTCTTGCTACCTAAAACGTTACTCTCACTGTGATCAAGCGTTTGTTTCCCATGCGTTCTGAATTTGCCGCCCAAGGGGAACGTTAGAACATACCATCTGGCAAGGGGGAGGTTACAAATACCCTCTACTTTTAACCTCCACCGTGGTAGTTGAAACCTCACCCTCGCGTTGGCTCGGTCCAAACTCGACCAATGACGAGGCGGCTCCCGCCGTCTCAATTCTAGCTTCGGTGGGAGGAACTTGGGTGGAACCAATGAGAGCACGAGTCTTAGCTACCAATCACGTTTGTCAAATTCCTGTCCAATCATTGGGAGAGGACGGCAGGGTTCTGTCAGAGCTGTAGAAAGAGAGAGTTGCGACACTCCATAGACTTCTGTGGAAAGAATGAAATGCGGAAATCACGTGGTTCATGTAGTTTCGAATAGTTCCAAACAGCCCCCGCTGCGGCTTTGACCGCAGTTCATTTTCGGTGTTTCGGAAGGATTTTCTCCGGAAAGTTGATGAAATGTCATCATTTTGTTGCATTGTGAAGCGTTAGCTAAGCGCTTCGTACTAAAATAAGCCAACGATGATATTTTATGTTGCCAGTTTTTGCTAGATAACCTTTAACAAGCTAATTGTGTGCAGCTTGTTGATTGTGAGCAGGAGGGTTTAAACAAGCTGTAGACGGGTTTATTTCAGTTTGTTTGACTCTACGTTTTAAAAATATTCCCCACAGTTTGAGTAGGTTATAAACTTTTTTACATTTTAGTTTTTTTTGGGATTTTTTGTACAATACGCTGCTGGTTGCTGTATCAACACGAACATGCATCAGAAATGGAAGCACAAGAAGAAGAAAATATCTTTTCTACAGCGCCTCTCACTTCAGAAAAACAAAAAATGTAAAAATATAAAAAAGCTTTCAGAAAATGTTTAAAAATATATTAAAATGAGCAAAAATAGGCAATTGTGATTTAAAAAATGTTAAGAAAGAGAGAGTGAACAGGAAAGAGGGAAATCAGTGGATCCTGAGGAAGGTGGAATAGGTGGGGAGAGCAGAATAAAGAGAGAGCGGTGAAGAAGATCACACAAAAGCCAGCTTGAACAAGTGAGTCTTCAGCTGCTTTTTAAAGGAAACCACTGAGTCCACTGATCTCAGGCTCAGGGGGAGAGAGTTCTAGAGTCTGGGGGCCACAGCAGCAAATGATCTGTCACCTTTGGTCTTTAGCCTGGTGCTGCACAACCAGTAGGCTTTGATCACTGGACCTCAGGGACCTGCTGGGGGTGTAGGGACTGAGAAGATCACCAATGTAAGATGGGGCTTGTCCATGTAAGGCCCTATAGACCAGAACCAGGATCTTGAAATGAACCCTGAAGTTGACTGGCAGCCAGTGAAGCTGGAGGAGAAGCGGGATGATGTGGAGAGACCAATAATAAAGAAAAATGTAATTGTGAAGACAAGTAATTATTTAATATTTTTCAGTTAATAACACTGACTTCAACACACTGCTGAAGCATGAGACAAACAGGATTACGAACATGAGAAGATATGTTCTGTTTTGTGTACTCAATAAGAATAGAATTACGATATTTCAAGAACAGTAGTCGAACACAATAACTTTTAAAAATTTGTCATTTTCCATAAAACTGCTCTTTTCCACTTGCTTTATAATATTAGCATTTGCAATTTGTTATTAAGTAAGGAATAACACGAAATAAGAATTAACAATAACATAAATATCAATAATTAAATTTCAAAGAGTAACTAAAACAAAAATCTTATGTAACCATTAAAGGTTAAACTGTGTGTGTGTCCATCTTCATGTTTTCATAGTGGCTGAGTGAAGAGCTGACCAGGAACAACGGTGGTGGCAAAACCCAGTTGGGTCTGTGATGGAGTGATGTACGCCTGGAGTGATTGCCATCTCATCCACAGTGAGCACACTCTCTTCCCATCTCTGTCAGATTTTTAACCTTCAAACTGAGCATGTCACACACCTCTCCTCACACACCTGGTTCCAGTTTAACGGGCTGCATTTGTCTGTGCAGGGTTCTAACATCAGGCAGAGAGATACTCGTGTCCTGAAGAAACCTGTAGCCTGTTGAACCCACTGAAAAACAGAGCTGTACAGCCTTTTTGATTGTCTGTTTACTCCATTTAATGCCTCTTAAAGACGTGGTAATGTCCCCCTCAGAGTCTTACTCCACCCACGTATCAATTTTAAAAACTGCAACATTAGTAGGCGTTGCCTGGAGGACCGAGAGGGCGGAACCGCGGCAGTGACGAAGACAATGGCTAACTAGACGATGCTAGCTCCCTTCACTCTGAGCATTTATTAGAAGTGGAGAACATTTCTCCCCCTCCTTACCCAGATACTCGAGAAGAAAGGGACCAAGTCTATTTGGAGGAGACAAGCGGACCTGAGCCTTATTGTTTTGAGCTTGTGAGTTGCCTGAAATTACCGGAACCGACCCAACAGAACCAGCTCTGAATGGTAAGTAGCCGTTAGCCATAGCATCAGATTAGCTGCAGGGTTTTGCTCCACGGCCCGAGAGCTAGTATTCAGCATGTTTTAGAGATTTATCTGCTTCAACACACCTGGTTTTAATCAGCAACAAATAGCGGAGCTGCTTAACAGGTAATCTAACCTGTTAAAGCAGGAAAATCCTCTGAAACGTGCTGGATAGCTCTCCAGGAGCTCTGGGCTCAAGCTACAGTCTGCTGCATAAAGTTATAAAAATATCCCATGAGAAAATTATTCTGTAATGTGTTCAGCCCACTAAAACTGCCCTGATTTCATTATTTATTTACTGATACTAGCTGCTCTTGGTTGCAGGTGATCCTCTGGTGTCTGCAGCTGGTCTCCTGCTGGTGTCGTCAGGAGCTTCCAGAAGAATGTGCCTTTCAATGACTCATTCCCCCTTATTTGTTATATTAATTAAATAAATCTCAATTTATAGATTTCCTGTTTTTGTTCATGTCCATAAATACTTAAACATGCTTGAAATTAAAACAAGCTTTTAACAGTGAGGTGCTAGTTTAATTCATCACAATAGAGCTAGTTAAACATGCAATGTGATAATTCAATTAATGTAATTTATAAATATCCATTAAAATATCAAAACTGGAATCAAAATGAGATATTTGGCAGCACAAAAAACTTGTCAAACACAATATTTATTATAATAATTGTAGGCAGACAGGAGACAGAGCTGATGGAGGTTCTCAGTCATCGAAGGATGGCTGAAGGCTTTCCAGGAACAGGAGGGGTGGTGTTGTCTCTTCTCTCTCTATTCTGCCAGATGAGCTGATATGTTACAGGTGTGTGAGGACATCCTCATGCTGTCATAACCAGATGACAGGTGTGTGAGGACATCCTCATGCTATCATAACCAGATGACAGGAGTTATCAGGTGATCAGCCAGGCTAATGATGAGATGCAGAAAGAAAACAAACCATGCAGAAAGAAAACTAATCCAGGACAGTGTACAGTAATAAAAATAATATGTGGTGTTGCTCACCTTATGTGCTCTCATAGAGTTATTAACGTGTGCCTGCCTCATGCTGAGTGTCCTGCAGTAATGCAGGTTATTAGTTAATTTACTTTTGATAACAAAAAAAAAATATTTAATATAAAAGTTATTTACCAGGTGAATCAGCTCACACGTCACCACCAAGTTTAATGGTACAAAATAAAGAAAGATGTGGGATGGATTAACTAGAAGACTCAGGGTTTTTTCCAAAACCTAAAGAAGCTTTCACCTTCTACAAAATTCAGCGACTTAACCACAAAAGACTCTCAAACTCTAACAGTGACCACTGTAGTTCTTTTACCAAGAGTAATTACTAACCCCAAAGAGAGACTTAATAAAAGCTGAGGAATTATTTTCTGTCAAGATCTTTAAACTTCTAAAACCCTGAAACCAGCCCAAAGGGAGTCTACTTGGTTACAAGTAGCTCCCAGAATGAAAGATCTTCCAGCCTTTTATCCTTTCCAGATCCAGAGAAAACGATTAGTCCAATTGCTTCCACCTGAAAAACTGTGGAGGGATCCACTGGTGATGAGGTTGCCGGTGCTCGTTGTGGTTTCCATGGTTACTGGACAACAGCACGGAGGCAGCCATCTTGTATCTGGGTCTGGTGTTGTCACTCCAAAAGAAAACAAAACAATGGGAAGAAAACTACCAAAACAGGGGAAAAATTCTGACTAAACAGTAATAATAATACGCTCAACCATTGTAAAACCCAGGTGTCGTAACAAAAACATTTAAATGTTCATTACAACGTTAAAATCTTCATTAAAACGTTAAAATCTTCATTTTCAAAAATGTTAAAATGTTCAGTAAAACGTTTAAATGTTCATTAAAACGTTAAAATGTTCATTAAAACGTTAAAATCTTCATTAAAATGTTAAAATCTTCATTTTTAAAAATGTTAAAATGTTCAATAAAATTTTAAATGTTCATTAAAACGTTAAAATGTTCATTAAAACATTTAAAAAGTTCATTAAAACGTTAAAATGTTCTTTAAAACGTTTAAATGTTCATTAAAACACTAAAATTTTCATTAAAATGTTAAAATCTTCATTAAAATGTTTAAATGTTCATTTTTGAAAACATTAAAATGTTCATTAAAATGTTTCAATGTTCATTAAAACGGTAAATTCTTCATTAAAATGTTTAAATGTTTATTTTTAAAAACATTTAAAGGTTCATTAAAACGTTAAATTTTTCATTAAAACGTTTAAATGTTCATTTTTAAAAACGTTTAAAGGTTCATTACAACGTTACAATGTTCATTTTTGAAACAAGCAGTCATGTAGAAACAAGTGAAAATATATGTAACTCTCATATAAGCTCTTTTATTATTCATTGTTACATGCTACTCTTTTCATTATGGGATCATGTTTGTTGGTCTTTCTTCTGTTAGACCAAGCACGGGTACGGAGAAGATGGAGTTAAACACCTTTTAAGTTGGCAGAACGAGGAGACAAATGATCAGAAGTCCATTCACTGTTTCGCCGCTCATGAGGGGGAGAGTCTCTGCAGCAAGTCCCGCGACCTGCTCTTGCCAGATGCTTCGGACAGACTCTCGCCGTTCTGCTGAAACGGCTGATTTTTATTGAAGAGTACAGGAATGTAACATACGCAGTTTGCCATGTACATACGTCAATGATCATGACAGGTGAAAATAACAGCCTTGTTAGCGGACAGTTTAATACATCACTAGAACACATCCTTGAGATTACCAGGAACATCCTGATATATTCATGACAGGAGAAGATACATTCACTGGTACCGAGAGGCACTGAGTGGAGATGGAATGTGCACACTCCCTTCTCTTGTGCAGGAGAAGATACACAGCTATTAATCTTTGTGTGAAGGCCTTGAGTATCTGAGCGAGTTTCCATAGCATAGATAATAAAATGAGCTTATAAGGTAAATATATATATATATTGCCTTGTTAGGCAGGATCTAACATGTCACAAGAACTTGTAATTCTTAAGATAAGCAGAAATATCCTTGGTAACCTGGTACAAGAAGAGACTGCAATGTCTCACTCCCTTTTGGAGTTCCTGCAGCTGTTTTAAGAGCTTGTGCAGGAGAGAAACACAGAGAGACCTTTATATTATAACATGATCCCATAATGAAAAGAGTAGCATGTAAGAATGAATAATAAAAGAGCTTATAATAATATATGAAAGAGCTTATATGAGAGATATATATTTTCAATCCCCCTTTTGAACTCTTTTAAGAGTTCAATAAAGATATAAGAAATCAAAACAATAACACCAAATTCCATCAAAAAGAATCCAATAAGAAAAGTTTTAAAATACAAATACAAACAATCCATCAGATTACAGCTTCTCATATTTCCAGCAATAAACTAATACAAAAAAACATGATCATATTTTTAACAGAACATGCTACAACATGAATGGATCGCATGCTCACCGTATGAGGGCGAAAAACCCTAATTATGTACGTCAAATAGGGAAAATTCCCCCATGTCCCCTCATTTTGAGGCGAACGCCTTTTGGCACAGAGTGGGCATGCCTAGGACATCAATGATCAAAAAATAAAAACAACACAATCAAAAAACTCATAGAAATGAACAGGTGAAGGGATTGTTACATAAATCACTGAACATTCTCACACTCTAACATCATCTTCTTCATCATGAGAGTCATCACTGTCATCAGAGGGTTCCCCTCCCAAATAGATGTTAGGATTGGCTAGTAACAAGGGCATCTGGATAATTGGGTCAGCAGGTGGAGGGTGTAAAATATTACCCTTGTAAAATAAATGAGGGTGTTAAATAGAACCCTTGTAGAATGTTCATAGGGTGGTTACTTCTTCCCCCTGTTGAGGTCCCTTCACTGGCTCCAGGCAGCTGCAGGGGGTGATGATGTCACGATTCTCGTCCTGCAGGATGTGGTGGCAGCTTGGCATGCTACCTCGTCCCGCAGAATTGGTAGCTTGGCACGCTACTGCAGTCAGCTACTTCTCTTCCTGGTTTTTGGATCCTTTCTCTGGTTGGTCAGATGTCAGCTGCTTCTCGTCCTGGTCCTTGGGTACTTCTTCTGGTCAGGCAGATGTCGGCTGCTTCTCTTCCAGGTTAGGCTCCTCCCGTCCAGCCGGACAGCGTGTGATGTCCTCTCCGTGATCCTGTATGGCCCGGTCCACCTTGGTTCCGTCCACTTCCTTTTGGTGACTTTTAGCAGGACCCAGACGCCTGGCACCGAAGGCGAAGCCTCTTCGTGTGTGTAGTTTTGGTCCAATGAAGGCTTTCTCGGCTTGTGCAGTCCAATTGATCTTGGCAGATAGTTGGTAGGAAGATTCACACTCCGGCCGGACCAGAAGTTCCCCGAACCGATCGCCTAGGGATTAAAGGTTATGCACAAAAATGTCCTAGCTCTTACTGACCCTAGCCTCTGATACCTTCAACATCAGACACATACAGTTACGAACAGCAAGCGCAATTAAAGGTACAGTGACATCACGACATGGACACACACAGACACACAAACACATACACATGCACATACACACACAGAGAGAGGGAGAGAGTAAGAATGTGTGTGGGAGAAAGAAATGAGTGGGATCCACTTCGCCACCAGCATCTCCACCTGTGTCACAGAGAAAAAATTACAAAGAAATTAAAACATAAAGCAAACAACAATAATTCAATGAGTATAAATGATCAAACTAAAATATACAACCATGCATGGGTTTTATAACAGTTCTGGCAACACTGGAGAGGAAGCCTTGTACAATGAATTCTTAAGATGTCCTTCATCAATTAGAGGTTATAGCCAAATTGTTTCAGGATCCTGAAGTTGAATTGGTCAATTTACTCAGAATAGCCCAATGGCTTTGTTGATGTTTCTCAAGGCTCAGCCACGCCCATATAGATAAATAAACAAACAAACAAAACAAACACAGTCAAACACACGGTCCATACACGTCTCTGTGCCCTCACACACCAAGCAAATGTCAGACTGAAGCGAAAGTGTGAAAACACTTAACCTAACGCTAAATCAGTGGAAAGAAAAAATAAGACCTAAAGCGTGTGATCAAATTAATCCAACAAAACTTCCCATAACTGCCGTTCTAAACTCATGTTGCGGTGTGATCTCTCCAATTAGAAATTAGGACAACCACTTTTACTATCAATTCAACCAAATAGTTTCAGGTTGTCCCTTACCTAAACTACCTGTCTTTCTTACCTTCTTTCTTTCTTTCTTTCTTTCTTTCTTTTTTAAGAACACTACTCGCACAAGAAATCCTAAGAATTAATTCACTACTTAAGGTTAATTCATAAATAACGAAACTGCAGTTACAGGTTTGTTTGTGCATAGTATTGGTAATCAGCAGTTTTTTTCCTTATCTCCTCATCTAGAAGTGTTTCTGTGCTACTCCTCCATCTATAACACAAGTTAGTATCATCCTTAAAGCATCTGAAATTAAGCTGCATTGCTAAATCAATAACGTGATTTGTGCTAAGAAATACTCCCCTATCCTCTTCCTTTTTCCAGTGGCGCTGAATGACAGATTTTAGATCAATTTAACGTTTTATCACTATTACGTTTCATTTAATTAATTTTGCTTTTTCTCTCTTATTTTTGTCTATTTATTTATTTATGTTATTTACTTATTTATCATGCCATCCTGTGATGATAATCTTAAAGACTTTTTAGCCAATTGTCGTCAAAAAGGCCAATTAAAAATATTATGTTAAAGATTTCACAAGATAAGAATGTGAACATAATTTTTATCGAATGAGGGGTACAATTATTCAATATTTTTGTGACATTATTTTCTACGTTAGAACTTACAGCTGATAGAAAAATATAGGATCAGCTAGGTTTGGCTAGATCTGTTGGGAAACTCAACGGAGCTGAAACAACACTGTTGTCTCGGATGAGATGTTCCATGAATCATTTAGTCAGCTGAATGCCAAATTATTCATTTAATGTTTATTTTTATGCAATGAATGGAATGGGATGGAACGTTACTATAAACTATCCGGAAATTTGCGCATGTTTGCTCGAAGGAGAAAACTGTTGAAGCCTAAAGCGTTCTCCTAGACTTATAAATAGACACCGTTTCCTTAACCAATGAGAATAAGTGATGACGCTGATGTATTCCGTTTTGAAAAGAAAATAAGGCTTTACTGCATGTCCGCTGCAGCTGAGAATCCTAGGACAATAAAGATTATATTGACGTCCAATGGTGAGTTGGGCTGAAATCCAGGTTACTAATCCTATTATTTATTTATTTATTGATATTATTATTATCTTTTTTTAGGCTAACTTTCTCAGTTAACTATGTTCTACAGTAGTTTAGTAAATTTTCCACAGTTCTGACATTTCATCAATTCAACTGGTTGTTGCCAAAAAGCCTTGTTCATTACCTGACTGCAGCAAGCACTCTTTTACTGGGTGTAACCATAGGAAACAGTCTCTTTTGAGCCTCTCTTTGTAAGTCCAGGATGACCACCGTCATTGATTAAAGTTCACATGTTAGCACACATGCTCCCCCTTTTGTACTTTGTTTCATCCGCAGCAGGGCAAATAAGTTTCTGCCTCTTTGTCCATCTTGTAGTGCTCCCCGTCTTGATGTTATAAGTCACAGTTTTTGGTGAGGGCTTCCAGGTTCTCTTTGTATAGAAGTCAGACCCAAACATTCTTTGCAGCTGGTTGTGACAGGCCCACCCAGTAAAGTTCATGCCCGCCACAATGCACAGCAAACGTTTTCCTTAAATATGTTGATTGGGTTGAAATGACAGAACTTTCTCTTTTTACAAATCAAAATCAACGATGGTTTCTAATATTTAGTCGACTTTATTGACTCAAAAGTAAATCTGAACTATTTCCTATGCACAATTTGTTCTGAATCATCAAATCAGTTCTACACAGGTTTTAAACATTAAGCACAATCTATCCCAAATGCAAGATCCCTCCTTTCATTTTTTATTTATCTATTTTATTTTGGGAAAATAACTACCAGTTTTTAACTCAAAACAGCCTAGTACAGTTTCTAGCCAGGTTACAGGAAATAATACTTAGTTTATCTGTTTTTTCATTATTCAGCGTCCCAAAATCCAGCCATTAACGTTAATGGTTCTTAAAGTTGAGGCAAGACAATTATTGGATTTTGTTTTATAGCAAGATTTAACAAATATTTTATTTCCTTACTGATTATTTGTTAATTTTATGGTTTTCATACAGATGATCCTGAGAGGTTCAGAGCTGCTTTTCGTAGCACCCTGTGCTATTTTTAGACTGCGGAACTCCTGTGTGTAAAAGTGGGTGGAGTCAGGTCCCCAGGCTGAAACTCCAGTCATTCTCACTAGATCTGTCCGAGAGGAAGGATCTCCTGAATACCCTAACCAGAAGCCTTAAGGTACGTCCAAAACACCGAAAAATATCCTTTCTAAAGTCACAAATTGCTTAAAACTGCATGTTACACAGAAAAACTGTGAGAGCGAGGGAGTCCAGCTGACTCCACGGCCCATAATCAGACAAAATACTTCCTTTATAACCACAACCATACAACTTTTGTATTTTAAAGGATTTTCTTGTCCTCACACTAACGATAAATTCTTTTTCTATTGTTTCCACAGTCTCTCAAACTAAATAACCGTCTAGTAAAAACATGGACCGCACCCTGTTTCTCAAGCAGCTGCTCCCTCTATTAAAAACTGCGTCATTCAGAAGATCCAGCGAAAGCAGCATTTACTTCTCATGCAAGAAGACACACATTCACTCATTCACAAGGCACAGAGACATTCTTTGTTTGTCACAGTCTCTTTTTATTATTATTATTATTTTTTTTAAAGTAAGTCAGTTCGTCACTTATTTATTCTCTCTCTATATATATATAATATTTTAAGCACAGAATTTATTTAACACTGCACTGGTTATTTTCAGAATTTAATGCTTACTATGCTTTTAAGCAGGCCTTATGTAACATTAGAGCAAATCCAATTGCAATTTTTTTGAGAGCGCTCTGAGGAATAGTTTATATATTTATTTTCTGCAGATCTGTTTTGATTTTACTGTTTAGCAGCTATATGACTATATTTCTAAAATAAAGCTGTCATTTACATCCTTACTTGCGTTTCTTGGTGGTTTTTTCCCTTTTTTCATCTCCAGGTCACTTAACCCCCAGATCGGGGTCACTCACATGCTGCCCCACACACAAATGATTATCACGCTTCTACACTACATATGTATATATGTATACACATATACATACATACACACATACATATGCATATGTTACTTTAAAAACCTTTTATTTATTAACTTATGGTGTTCTGTTCAAAGACTGATCAGAACAGGGTTGCAGAATTTGAATTTTGCGTAGCTCCAAACATAAATTTTAGCACTGCAGTGTAATTTACATATACGAGTTGCAACTTTTTAAAGCTCTTATTTATCTTATTTATTTATTTTCTGGTACCGCATCAGGCCTTCACACACACACCCAGCGCTGTACACACACACACACACACGGAGCTCCCAAAACTCTGCTCTGCATTCTGCACTCTCCTAGTGCTGCACTTTCAATCCAGAGCCGTAAGCAGCCTCTTGCTGCGCCTCACACACACAGGCTGAACTCAGCTTACACACACAGTGAATCTTGTCTACAGCTGTGCCTTTTTCCTCTTGATTCTGCAGCCTTCACTTCCCAAATCTTGCTCCAGTTACCTCTACTGTTAACATCTACCCCTTTTCCTTCATCGCCTTTTCTGCTGACTTTCTCAATAAAACCTCATTTCTCGTGGCTTCAACTGGGCTGCTTTTCATATTTTAAACATTACTTATTTTATGCAAAAACAGTTACCTTAGAACATTTTTCTCATCTCATGCAAAAGGCCCTTGACCTTTAAAATCCAGGGAGCTCTCTTTAGCCTCCCCTTCCCTTAACACAAAAATCAGGTCCTTGACCTTAAAATCCAGGGAGCTCTCTTTAGCCTCCCCTTCCCTTAACACAAAAATCAGGTCCTTGACCTTAAAATCCAGGGAGCTCTCTTTAGCCTCCCCTTCCCTTAACATAAAACCAGGTCCTTGACCTTAAAATCCAGGGAGCTCTCTTTAGCCTCCCCTTCCCTTAACATAAAACCAGGTCCTTGACCTGTGGACTTTTAGGGTTCCCACACCTATGGATCCAGCCAAGCATTATATAACCTCGTTATATATTCTATCCGCTCGTCAGCAAATAGTGTGGTCAGCCACGACCTGGAAATGGAACTTTAGGGCTATTCTATTAGCCCTGGGTCACCATCCCTTCTTCTGTACTATTTCCTTATCTCATTTACCATTAAACCATAAAAAAAAATCCTCATTTCATTTCACCATTAAACCATTACAAAAAAAAAATCTCTTATTTCTTCTGCACTTGTCTCCACTTTCGTCTCCAACTATTATTTTAGGACCACAGCTACTATGATTCTGGACACAAAGGCTTTGGATAAATCCAATGAGCAGATTTTAGATAATAGGCTCTGCTCACCTTGTTTTCCACCGCGGTGTTCTGTGCCAAGATCGTTCGCTGGGTCAGTGGGTCGAATCGTCCTCCAAAAACTCCTTTTTCTTCAAAAAGAAAAAATCCTGTTCGTGACGCCAAATTTGTTGGTCTTTCTTCTGTTAGACCAAGCACGGGTACGGAGAAGATGGAGTTAAACACCTTTTAAGTTGGCAGAACGAGGAGACAAATGATCAGAAGTCCATTCACTGTTTCGCCGCTCATGAGGGGGAGAGTCTCTGCAGCAAGTCCCGCGACCTGCTCTTGCCAGATGCTTCGGACAGACTCTCGCCGTTCTGCTGAAACGGCTGATTTTTATTGAAGAGTACAGGAATGTAACATACGCAGTTTGCCATGTACATACGTCAATGATCATGACAGGTGAAAATAACAGCCTTGTTAGCGGACAGTTTAATACATCACTAGAACACATCCTTGAGATTACCAGGAACATCCTGATATATTCATGACAGGAGAAGATACATTCACTGGTACCGAGAGGCACTGAGTGGAGATGGAATGTGCACACTCCCTTCTCTTGTGCAGGAGAAGATACACAGCTATTAATCTTTGTGTGAAGGCCTTGAGTATCTGAGCGAGTTTCCATAGCATAGATAATAAAATGAGCTTATAAGGTAAATATATATATATATTGCCTTGTTAGGCAGGATCTAACATGTCACAAGAACTTGTAATTCTTAAGATAAGCAGAAATATCCTTGGTAACCTGGTACAAGAAGAGACTGCAATGTCTCACTCCCTTTTGGAGTTCCTGCAGCTGTTTTAAGAGCTTGTGCAGGAGAGAAACACAGAGAGACCTTTATATTATAACATGATCCCATAATGAAAAGAGTAGCATGTAAGAATGAATAATAAAAGAGCTTATAATAATATATGAAAGAGCTTATATGAGAGATATATATTTTCATGTTATAATATCAAAGGCCTCTCTGTGTTTCTCTCCTGCACAAGCTCTAAAACAGCTGCAGGAACTCCAAAAGGGAGTGAGACATTGCAGTCTCTTCTTGTACTGGTTACCAAGGATGCTTCTGCTCATCTTAGAATTACAAGTTCTTGTGACATGTTAGTTCCTGCCTAACAAGGCAATATATATATATTTACCTTATAAGCTCATTTTATTATTCTATGCTATGGAAACTCGCTCAGATACTCAAGGCCTCTACACAAAGATTAATAGCTGTATATCTTCTCCTGCACCAGAGAAGGGAGTGTGCACATTCCATCTCCACTCAGTGCCTCTCGGTACCAGTGAATGTATCTTCTCCTGTCATGAATGTATCAGGATGTTCCTGGTAATCTCAAGGATGCATGTTCTAGTGATGTATTAAACAGTCCGCTAACAAGGCTGTTATTTTCACCTGTCATGATCATTGACGTATGTACATGGCAAACTGCGTATGTTACATTCCTGTACTCTTCAATAAAAATCAGCCGTTTCAGCAGAACGGCGAGAGTCTGTCCGAAGCAACTGACGGGAGCAGGTCGCGGGACCTGCTGTATGTTGCAAAGGCTCTCCCCCTCATGAGCGGTGAAAACAGTGACTGGACTTCTGATCATTTGTCTCCACATTCTGCCAACTCAAAAGGTGTTTAACTCCATCTTCTCCGTACCCGTGCTTGGTCTAACAGAAGAAAGACCAACAAATTTGGCGTCACGAACAGGATTTTTTCTTTTTGAAGAAAAAGGAGTTTTTGGAGGACAATTTGACCAACCGACCCAGTGAACGATCTTGGCACAGAACACCGCGGTGGAAAACAAGGTGAGCAGAACCTTATTTCTAAAAACTGCTCATTGGATTTATCCAAAGCCTTTGTGTCCAGAATCATAGTAGCTGTGGTCCTAAAAATAATAGTTGGAGAAGAAAGTGGAGACAAGTGCAGAAGAGATAAGAGATTTTTGTAATGGTTTAATGGTGAAATAAGATAAGGATTTTTACAATGGTTTAATGATAAATGAGATAAGGAAATAGTACAGAAGAAGGGTTGGAGGCCCAGGGTTATTAGAGAAGCCCTAAATTCCATTTTCCAGGTCGTGGCTGACCACACTATTTGCTGACGAGCGAATAGAAAATATAACGAGGTTATATTAAGCTAGGGTAGGGCCTTAGGGGTGGGAACCCTAAAATACTGCAGGTCAGGGACCTGGTTCGGGTTAAGGCCCTGGGAGGCTAAAGAGAGCTCCCTAAATTTTGAAGCACAGGTCAAGGACCTGGTTTAGGTTAAGGCCCTGGGAGGCTAAAGAGAGCTCCCTAAAGTTTAAAGTACAGGTCG